TTTTCTGTGTGAAAAAAAAAAAATTCGATTTACATCGGGTGGGCTTTATATTTTGGCTGTAATGTAAATAACCTGTAGTTTTCCTTCTATTGTTTGGAAGGGAATTTTTTTCTTTGTTCATTTTTCTTTTCAAGTAAACCTAAAGACTTTTTGCTGAGCAGGTGGGCATTCAAGATGTCAGGGCTGAAGTAATGCCAGCTGGCAAAGCTGATGTTATCCACTCATTTCAAAAGGATGGAAGCATCGTATCAATGGTGGGTGATGGCATCAATGACTCGCCTGCTCTAGCTGCTGCAGATATTGGTATGGCAATTGGGGCAGGGACGGATATTGCCATTGAAGCTGCTGACTACGTGTTGATGAGGAATAACTTGGAGGATGTAATCATAGCCATTGATCTCTCAAGAAAAACCTTCACTCGCATTAGACTGAATTATATTTTTGCCATGGCTTACAATGTGATCGCAATACCTATTGCTGCCGGGGCTCTATTCCCTTTTCTAGGGATCATGTTGCCACCATGGGTAGCCGGTGCTTGCATGGCTCTCTCATCTGTAAGTGTTGTGTGCTCTTCTTTGCTTCTTCGAAGATACAGAAAACCCAGACTTGCCACCATCTTGGAAATGACCGCGGAGTAGAAAGAGAGAAAAACAAGAGCTGTAGTTGTCAGATCCCTTCTCTAGAGATCATGTCGCCACCACGGGTAGCCGGTGCTTGCATGGCTCTCTCATCTGTGAGTGTTGTGTGCTCTTCTTTCCTTCTTCGAAGATACAGAAAACCTGGACTTGCCACCATCTTGGAAATAACCACGGAGTAGAAAGAGAGAGAAACAAGAACTCTAGGTGTCAGATCTGTAGGGAAAAAAAAGAGAAGAAAACGGAGATGAAGAGGAGGATGGCACATAAAATTCTCAATTTTGTATCTATTTTTCTTTCTTTCCCACACTGTTATACGCCGAGGGGATGCAATTCATTACCCGAAATGTAAATGTACTTGTATAATGTCATCATTGTTGTATTTTCTTGTGGTCTTCCCATTCAATGAAAAGGGTTTGGTTCGCTCTCTCTCTCTCTTTCGTTTGTTGTACTCTGACAGTTAATTGATGTGAAAATAATCTTGGTTTCTGGACATTGAAAGAATTCGTGGAAACTACTGTTGGGGTGGCTTGGTTCACCAGCGATGCTGTATTGCTGGACAATGTACACCTAGGGTTTTAGAGTTGAAGTCACCTGGACCTCCTTACGGCGCAAGAGGCTTGTCAACTGGCTTTCAGAACGGGACTCTCTCTCTTTAAAGTGAGTTCCGGTTCGTGTGAAACTGACTCTAGGAGGTGGGAGGATATGGCTGCAGTATTTTTATTTTTTTTTCTTAAATCAATAAATTAAGATCACAGCACCAAAACTGCCACAGTAGCAGCAAGGCGGGAAGTAAGCACATCAAGACAATAATTATTTATTTTTTGAATAGCCGAGACAAGGCACCCGCATGAACCGTGTGGGCTTTGACACAGGCAATATTATAGATAAAATTCGAGAACAAATGCAATGGCTGTGTGGGAGAAGCAAGAGATCAGAGTATAAAATCATTGATTGATGCTGGTAGAATGAAGGCGCAGCAATCTTCACCAGTCCACCAAGGTGCCACACCCGCAAAGTGATCAAATCAAATTTCTTTATGTATGGGATGAAACATGTACAGTATTATATTATATAGACCAAGTCAAGTCTAAAAAGGTTTGTTGGCAGTAAATCCGTTCATATAATTCAACTGTTATCGGAGAGATGATAAGTTCGATCTGGAAAATTGTTTATCTCACCGGTCCCTGTTCTGCACCTACCGCTGTGGTCCAAGTCAACACTACACTTGAAGCTCGCTTTCATTCCACACTTGACGAAAGAAAAGTAGTACGCCACAGCTTTGTCTACTCTCTAGAAAGATGTGCTTTCAACTTTCAACTTTCTGGGTGTTTTTTTTTTTCCGTAATTGAGTAAGGCCACCTAAAACAGAAGGCTTTTCAATTCTAGCCATTAGTTTAAAACCTTCCACTGTTATCCTTCTATTTCCCAAAACTTCCAATCTTGCGCCTCAATATTCAACAGCTTACCTTTTGAATTTGTTTCTTGAGTTTTTTTTTTTTTTAAGGTTTTATGAGATAATATATATTTCTAGATTTCAGACAAACTAAAGCAAAATCTGAACAAACTAAAAGTCAACTCTTATTTAGTATAAAGCTAGCTGTTTCTTTCTTTTCCCTCCCCATGACAAGCCTTTATTAGGATTGAATGGAGTGGATTTCGAGATTAAATTTGAAGTTATTTGAGAATTAAGGACTAGATAGAAAAAAGAAGGGCTTGAACTTGGGTGAGATGAAATCCAAGACTAAATTAAAAAGTTATTAAAAATGAAGGACTAAATTATACAAACAAAGCAAAAAGTTCCCGGCATATGTATTAGATGTTCTAGCATGTGAGAGGAGCTGCCATATGAGGGTGGCACTCGCGACTTCCTTCAACCTTTGATGCCGGCCTTTCTTGATCCCATTAGTATTGTTTTGATGGAGTCTTTCTTTCAAAACGCTGTGTGATGTTAATGAAGCTTAAATATGATTATAACAACTAATTTGTTTTCTTTTACTTTTCTTTTTATTTTTTTCTCATTCTGTTGGCTTCCATGTCTAGTTTCTTCTCGGTCACAAAATAGGGTTGCATTTTTTCTTTTTTTCAATATCAATGCTAGTGCCTTTATCTTTAGTCCTTTGTAAAACAAAACACTTCAAATTATTTTTTCACAAAATTAAGCACCAACTTCAAATTAAGATGTTTTTCAAACTGGTAGAACTTTATATCAAGCCAATCAAAGTAAATTATAGAGCCCAATCTCGATTAAATGCATTGCGTAAAGATTGAATCAGATAACAAAAAAAATTATGGTGATGGAAAAAAAGGGAAGCACGGAAAAAAGGACAAACAATGAATGAACAATAGAAGGGACAATAAAAAACCTAGCTATTTGATCTTTTTACTTAATTAATGACGGCAGATTCAATTTTTGTTTTTAATAATTAAAGGGGCAACATTGGGAAGAACCGAACTAGGGGGGTATAAGTGGAGCATTGAAGAATCTACGAGGGCAAAAACATAGTTTAGCGAAAAACAGGAAGTTGGTAAATAATCATTCCAAGTCTTGGATAACAATCAGGGCGGTGTGTATATTCAATTTCTGAAGCAATCGCTTTGAACGGCATTATAATAGAATTGACTTGTAAGAGGATCAATTAATGAAGTTGCCTTCCTGCTTAAACTACACATCGACTCCCTGCCCTACAAACATGGCCATCGGTAAGGACGTCAAAGTTGATAGTCAACTAATTAATCAATACATGCCTTTCAGACACTGTTGTGGACCTGGAAAATGACCTTTGGTCAAAACCACATCTCTTCCACCTGCTTGCTTTGAAAGCTATCTAGTGGCTAAACCTTGTTGGAATCATAGAATTTCCAGGCAGTTTCCTAATGCCCAACTAATCCTTAATCATAGAGAGCAGGGCATTTGCTTTAAATGGGAACAAAATCCTAGCTAATCCATAAAATAAACGCCACTGCCTACTTCATAATCCCAGCCAATCGTTAAAAAAAAAACAGAATATACATCAGTGCCTACGTCAAAGCTTCGATACCATCGATCATCAGGTTTATGTGAAACGAGAGAATTGATTAGTCTGCTGATACCATTTTGTGGGAGAGTGACGGCACAAAACATCAATCAGTAGCAAATTCGAATACTGAATAAAGGACATATATATCGTTTTCAACCCTGTCCTGCATTAGCTAGCAGCCTTCATTAATTCAATAGATGTTCATATTGATAATTCTAAGAGCTGGAATTCCCAAGAAATTTACATGGTGGATATATTCCCTCGAAAACAAGATCATGACATTAATGAATTGCTGATCCGGTACATGCACATATATATACCTCAATTTCATGTAAAAGAAATTCAAGAAACACATTTATGACAGTTGAAAAATACCAATCAATACCGTGCGCTGATGAATGACTAAGTACATTAATTGCCAAAGTCAAATGGGGAAATCATCCATTGGTCCATTCTGATCGACAACAGTTTTTTAAATATTTTGATAAATTAATCTTTCTTATTATAACTAAACTATACCTTAAAGTATCCGAGAAGAAACATATTCCTAACGAATAAATACAAAAGAAGAAAAAAAGGAAAAATACAAGAACAAGAACGAAGGGAAATGGAACGTCCTCTTTACTTCTCTTGCATTGAATTGAATCTGAAGGTACAAGAGTACATTCAAACCCCCTAGGATGTTTGATTCTAGTCAAAAGAGACTAAGGGTGGTCATTCTTAGACGCTTGATTCAACAATGTCTTTGGTTGAATAATTATTATCTGAAGGTACAAGAGTACATTCAAACCCACTAGGATGTTTGATGCTAGTCAAAAGAGACCAAGGGTGGTCATTCTTAGACGCTTGATCCAGCAGTGTCTTTGGTTGAATAAATATAATTTTCAACATCTATTATTCTGTGTAGGCTATAGAACTGTTTCGAAAATCAAGGCATTGCTTTTGGTTTCTCAAAACAAAGGGCCAGGTGTTTGATATCGACGAGGAGAATTGACGCAGAAGAAACTAATAAGGGAGAGGTGGTGGTTTGGGGTTGCAAATCACGGTAATAAAAAGCAGTGCTGCATTATTTTGATGAATCTATATTAATTTAAGCAAGATATTCTGACCAAGAAGCTAAGACCATCTCGAATGAACCCGAAGATAAACTACTAAAAGTCTAAAGGTGATTTTGACTCTCTGGTATTGTGATCTCATTGACAAAAACAGTTGTTGCTTCCAGGAAACTACACTCGCTTCGGCCTTAGTGGCCCAGTTTGTCTCTCTCCCAAGGAATAGTCAAGAGTAAGCACAATTACTTTGACTGCAGATGGTCTTCTCAGTATATATATGACTTGAGGTTTACATTTGTATTTGTTTGCTCTCCATGCTAAATAACACGGCTTAATAGAGTGCCAGACAGGCAATTTAAGATTACAATCAGAGCCACCGTGAGTGACTCTATGGCTAGTTCGTCGAGTGATTGGGTGCAACTCTATGAACAAGCCAATATTCATGGACAGGCAACACCTTCCTTTGGATTCTCAGATGCCACCAATGTTGCAACCAGTGGTGCATCGCATATCATAAATCCAAGCAGTTCAATTACATCAAGTGCTGGTGATCAGACGTTGACCTCTAAAGGTTGTGGGTCGAAGCCAATCAAAAGGAGGTCTAGAGCTTCTAAGAAGACACCAACCACCCTGCTCACTGCCACCACCGCAAATTTCAGAACCTTGGTGCAACAATTCACTGGCTGTCCTATTAATCCCATTTCAATCGGGAACCAAAAGGGTCCAATCAACTTGAATTTTGGACTTGGGAGTGCACAAGATCATAGCTACGCGACTGCAGAAATGGCACCTTTTGACAACATTTATTATCATGGGCAATCTCAGATGCAAGAACGACAGCAACCGAGGGAAAACGCACAGCAACTGCGCCAGGACCAAGGATTTCTTGATCATCTTCCTAATAGTAGTGCTTACTTCTCAATGTCTAGTGACCTTGGACCTAATTTAGACAGGCCAGCTGATGATGGGCTTTTCAATATGGACGATATTACTTTGCAAGAGCTTGCTAAGGAGTCTTTCTCGGATGAAAATATGAATAATATTGATTGCTTTTAGGGATGGTTAACCATATATATCCAGGTGCGGTTTTGTTCGTAGAATCTCCTCTTAGAGCTGTATTGTATGTTCATCTATCGATTTCCACAGGCATGTATGCTATTTTCTATTTATTAATTCCTCATCCAAATAACATAGGAAAAGGAATTAAGACTAAGACTATATACTATATATTACATTTTCATTTTTTTAATCAAACAGAGTAGGATAGAGCTGAATCTTAGTGAACAGTGACACCATAGACCAAAGTTATGATTAACTGCAGGCTATTTGGTAAGAGAAAAAACAAATCACTGGAGTTTTGGTCAATTGAAACCTAACCTTTCATTTATCTGATTTTGATTCCTAGCCCACGATTTTTTTTTTCAATTCATTTTTGTATTGTTGTATTGAAACTGCTGGCATAGCAAACAATTTTAAGCTAATTTATGATGATTTGGTTGGGATTTCATTCTTATGCCAGGGGCGAGAATGCATATCCTACTGCTCATCAATGGGATGGTGATGATGACTTCCTTTAAAATTGAACGTTTTTACTTGGTTATTTTTCTGGCACATGCTCGATTCTTTTGCATGCCCAACTCAGATTACACTGAAGTGTTTGGATTTTCTTGATTTACCGGGGAGTTGGCACACAGAAAACAACGATTCTTTTCTGATGCTATATATATATATATTTTTTTTTTCTCACCCCATATGAGTTGGCACACAGAAAACAACGATTCTTTCTGATGCTATTGATGGAAAATTAGAAATGGGAAGTGTATATATATTTTCTCACCCCATGGCACTTTGAATAATCCTCTAATATCCATACATCAATTAAACCACGTTGCACATGACTTAAGGTAATTGTTCATCCATCTTTCGGAGACTTATTTCTGTCACAAATATCATATTTCAATGTAAAATTATTTTCTTTTCCTTCCTAGAATTCAATCCTCTAAAATACATGTAATAATCCCTAATTTACTGTCTTTAATCCCTAATTTATTGTCTATAATAAATACAATAAATACAAGATATTCTGTTACAATTTAGTTATCATATATTATTGATATTCTTGCCATCATATACATTGACATCCCCCCTCAAATTGATGCTAGCCGATCAAGAAGCATCAATTTGTCAATCATGAGACATCAGCTGTCTGATGCTCGGTAGAAACATGAGGTAGTGTAAGAATATTATGATCAAGAGCTTCATGAATGTAGTGACAATCAACTTTAATATGTTTAGTGCGTTCATGAAACACATGATTAGTAGCAATCTGAACAGCACTTGTGTTATCAGCATGAAGAGGTGTAGGATTGTGCTGAGGAAAATCAAGTTCACATAGTAAACCCTCGAGCCACACAATTTCAGAACATGCAGAGGACATAGCTCGATACTCAGATTTTGTGGAAGATTTTGAGATTCGGTCTTGCTTTTTGCTTTCCATGAAATTAAAGCATTTCTAAGAAACATACACTACCCAGTAATAGACCGGCATGTATCCATGCACCCTACCTAATCTGCATCACTATAACCTGTTAATTGTAATGAATTATCGCAGGAAAAAATAATCCTCGCCCAGATGTGCCAACACCCTCTTTGCTCAAGTGTTTTGAAAAGTACTAACGAAGAACGGAAAGGTGAACAATTAAGCAGTCGCAATGGGGGCTTGCCTGCCGTACTAGAATCTGTGAGTGAATAATCAAGCAGTGACATTTGAATTCGATGCCTGACACTTTGCTAGATATTAATCTTAGGCCGTTCATTCTAAAAACCGCAACTTGTTGAGTTTCAAACCAAATCAGTGGATCGAAAAGGTTAAAATAGAATTACACCCGCAAGCATGGCCCAAGCATCTGATATAAATTCTTTGACAACCGCATCTTCTTCGACTGATTTAGAATTCTAGCCTTTTGAATACAACATACATTCTTCCATCTGCATCCGTCACTATCTTCTACTGGAACCTTTAAAATGTGAGTATGACTTCTCGTGAAGAGCAATTGCAAGAATAGAACGATTCTCACGCCAAGATTTGTTTCCGGTCAAATAAATAATCCCTTGATTATTTGAATATAGAGTCAATCTAGGCACTAGTCACTGAACCCCATTTGCAACTGAGGTTACACTTTAAGTTTTGTCAAAATATAATTTTTTGTATTTGAAATTATTATTTTTTAATATGTATTAGTGTTAAAATTAAATTTAAAAAATGAAAAAAATTAAATTCTATTTTCAATAAAGAGTTAGAAATTTAAAGAAGAAAAATCTCAATTTTAATGAGTTCGAATTACCATCCTTTATCCCATGAAAGAAATTCAACCGCTTGATCAAACCTGCAATGCGCACATTCATTTGATGCAAAGAGAGAGGAGCCCAAACAGTTGACTGACTTGTTGTACTGCAAAAGAAATATCTGGTCGAGTGATAGTTAAATAATTCAAACTGCCCACCAATTGCCTGTATATGGAGGGATCAGGTAACAGGTCACCATCATTCTGATAAAGTTTTAAATTAATCTCGAAAGGTGTAAGAACGCTATTCTCTTGAGCCCAAACAGTCAATAGCAGTCGCTCCCACCTTGCCTCATCAATGTGACTGATGACGTTCTTTCTCTATAATTTCACCAACATGCGTCAGATAGTGATAAAAAGGAGAGGGGAGGAGGAGGAAACGTTGAAACCAAGATATAATGGGAGAGAATCGAAAAATGTAGTAATGAAACTGTACATTTGACGATAAGAAAAAAAAAAAAAAAAACTTATTTTTTGGGCTGGCCCGATCGGCTATAAGGTTGCATTTGTTTTTTACCGGTTTTTGTATTTACAGTAAATGGTATTTGGTAACTAACCAAAAGTGTTTTGTACTATTATGCTGTGATATTCATTAAAAAATTAAGTTTAAAATATAATTTTTATTAAATAGTTTTTATATATTTTTTTATTAAGTTTCGTAAAACCCTGTTTGTTTTTTTAAAAAATTAAATTTTTTTTATTTTTTTACTTCAAATTGATATATTTTTGGTGTTTTCATATCATTTTCATGTGTTGATATCAAAAATATTTTTTAAAAAATAAAAAATATTATTTTGATATATTTTCAATTAAAAAATACTTTAAAAAATGTCCATAACTATACTTCCACCAAATATTTTATATATGTTTTTTACTGTATATAAATTTCAATTATAATTTTTATCAAACACATATTAAAATCTAACTAACTATAAATAATTATATTTTTAAAATTACAACTATAAAAATTATTTTGAAATTCGGACTTCATCCAAATAATTAGAAATTCTATTTGATAGGCCCAGCCCAAACAGGTAGCATTGCTACCTAGCATGCCCATATTTTTCTTCATATGCACTTTTTCATGCATTAAAGGCTAAAGTTGACAAGGAAGAGACAGGAAAGAAGAAAAAGAGATAAAGAAAGAGTCATAATAAATATATTAAAACTTTAATTTTGATATTATTAAAATAATTAAAAAAGGTCTTAATAAGGCAAATTTAATAATATATTAAAAAATAATTTTTGAAGAATGGAATGAGCCACATGCATTAGTTAAAGTCAGAATATCAATGACCCAAACAATTAGAATTTCATCCCAAACATATTAAGATATTCCTATATCTAGGTAACTAAAAAACAATATTAAATCCAATTTTAAATTAAAAAAAATCGAATGATAAGAAAAAGGGTTGAACCTTTTCCTTGCATAAGCAATCAAGTTCTCTATTCTAGTAAGAAAAACGAGTTGTATATTTATCTATTGTTTAAATTTAATTTTTATTTTTTTAATTATTTTAAATTAATAAAACTTCATGAATTTTACTAAACTGAGCATGAGACGAGTGACAAATCATTTTCTCAATACTGTGAGATCCCCTTATTTAAGCATTCAAAACATACCACCAAACATATATTAAAGAAAAATAATCCAAGGATCAAAATAATACAAGCAAAAGGATCTATTTTATAAAAAAAATATTATGGTTACAATTCATATGTTTTGTCTCTATCTCCCTAGCAAATCTCGGTTTGTTTTTTTTTTTTTTTTTTGATAATTGTAATGTAATAGGATTGAAGTGTAAAAGGAGTATTTTATTTCTTTGAACTTCTATTATTATCTCCTAATTTTTCAATTCAGCACATACTATTGTCTAAACAAAAAAATAATGTACTAATGTCATTATCTTTTTCCACGTGGAAGTAAAGGTAATTTTTTATCTATTTATTTAAGGAAAATGGTTCCTCGACAAGCAATTAAGTAGCTGGCTTAGAAGTTTAGACTCCCAATGCTTTTATTTGTTGTTCAAGTCGTTCCAGCACCTGTGGGGGGAAAGGAATGATTAGATAAACAAAACTTGATGAGAGCTAAATTGGCAGCAGGACACCACAAACATTTCTAGGCTCACCGCCTTCGTGCTGTCAAGAGCAGTTTTCAGTGCTTGGATTTCCTGCAACACAACCGATTTATTCAGCATCACTACTTCCTGTCCGAAGCAAGTTATGTGAATATCACTCACTTTGTTGGTGTCCACAAGTGCACGTTCTAGTGCCTGGATTTTCTGCGCCTCGGTTTTTCCAGCATCTTTGGTATCCTCGTGTTCTCTGTGTTCTTCTCGGGTGAGGCTTGCATCACCGGAATCTTCATTTTGGCCAGTACCCTGCATTATTCAGCGAGTCAAATGTTGGCTGATAGGTTCGAATTTTATCGTATCTTATTAAAAGCACCAATCCAGAAGCCTGCAGGCAATGAATTGATCAATATTGCAAGTGTCATAAGAAATGTTGAATAATTTGTTGATTAATTACCATAGCCTCCTCTGAAGCGACACCTCTGTTTGATTCAGTATTGTAAATCTCCTCTGTTATAGAAGTCAACTGCAGGGAACAAGTTAAATATTCACAGGAAGTCTCGGATGAGTTTTAAAATATAAAAATTTATTATTTAATGTATTTTAATTAAAAAAAAACATTTTGAAAAGTAATTTAATAAACATTTTAATAAACACTACCCTAAAGAAAGTATTTCATGGTAGTTAAGAAGATAACCTGAAGCATTTCTGCAATTTCTGGGTTCTGCCAGGGTCCTTTATCACTAAACAGGCAACCACCATAATCAGAACATGTGCAGTTCCCTCCAAGAAAACTTGGCAAATTACTGTGAAAGAAAATAGGAAAACTTAGC